TATGAAATTTAATCTCACTATGAACAGTCTTATTTTTTAATTTCTTTATATTTTCCATAAAGAATCGTCAACGTAAAAATGAAAGCTAAGTACAAAAAAAAAATAAAAAATAAAAATAAAAAATTAGAGCGCTGAAAGTTTTCCTTAAAAGTAACGAGGTAAATAATTTGTTCATTTAAATAATTTCACTTCCTTCCATCCGTAGAATGAATAATCCTCCCGTAAGTTATCTAAACGTCATGAATGTGCCTTTCGTCAATCGTCAAGCGACGCGAAAGGTTATGACCTGCTTTATTTTATTTTCAAATTACATTATTTCGCCGCAGAAGCTAAGTTAAGCTTGGTTCAAAATATTTTAAATAAACAGTATAATTTCTGTTTTTATTAAAATCAGTTTTGAAAAAATGATAATTGATTTTTAAAAGAATATCAAAGTCAGATTTTAATCTTTTTATCAAATCGAAAAAATGATTGAAAATGATTGATTATCTGTCCTTTTTCTTGACCAAAAACAAACAATATTTTTAACGAAAATTTCAGACGTGCTAAGAACGATTCAAAAATGTAAAAAAAATACCCCCAAAATACTTTGATCTTTCCTCTTTAATAATAATATGAACATTAGACGATAAAATTTTTTTTTTCGTCAAGTTCGGCTTTTTTTCATCATGCTATGCTCATTTTGTTTACATTTTCGTGGGTGAGTTGTCCCCTTTCATTCTCACGATGTGTCTTAATCGTGTTTTCAAATTGATTTTCTTAAAAAAACAATTGTGCTTTTCCCATTTTCGGCGCCGTTAGAACCACCACAAGGTAATTTTATGTAGTCCTGTGAAGTTTTGTTGAAATCGGCTAAAAAATGTAGGAAATTCGATCCAATATATAAACGTTACACACACACACACACACACACACACACGCACGCACGCACGCACACACACACACACACGCACACACACAATCTGCGTTTTATAATAAGTAAGATTTCAAAATTGGAATTTCATTTCGGTGATCAGTGAAAGCCTTACAGCACAAACGTATAATATTTACTGAAGATTTACAAATTGTACATAGACAAGATGCATGGCTTGAACACCTCGTTACTAAATCAATGTGCCATCAAATAAGACCCTCATTTACATCAAAGGAAAATTATATATATATTATGATGTATATTACAGTACAGTAATTTTAGTGTGATCTTCTAAAAAGCAATGCAAATCTAAATGTTTTATCTTATAGTTTGTGCCCAGCAGTATTGTGTTGTTATATACACTATTATCTATTTTTTGCTTTTATTAATTATTATCTGACAAATGTTCTAAAAATGACCTTACAAATTATATTCATTAAGTAGCTTTTCTGAAATGTTTTACAATTTTTTATACAGTATTTACTTATCAAATACCGTAAAAAAATGTATATTTTGCTTGTGGTGATACATAATTAGATTGGATATATTTCCTTTCAATGTATATAATGCATAAAAATATCAACTTTATTTGGATTTATTCTTGAAATAGCAACATTTTGAAAACAGTTTGTAAGCAAAAACCTTCTGATATTACGTATTTCTGTACATTTGTTCAGAAAAATTTTAAATGGAAATTCTCAAAAGTTAGTAAAATCTCAACCTCTAGCTTTTTCTCTGAGAGCAATGTTGAAAACATGATAAAATAACCTTCCTTAAGGAAACATGTGAAACAGAAAACGAATGTGCATTGGATTAGGGAAATATGTACCGTAATTCCCCATATATAATACGACTTCATCCATAATATGTACACCTGAAATTGTGCGGAAAGTTTGAGAAAATGTTTCTCCTCACGCATAATACGCACCCCTTGTTCGGTAATCAAACCCTAAAATTGTATATCCAATTTCACTACGGCCAGTGTCTCCTACTCTTATTTTTAAAAAAATGGTTTTAATCATAGAATTATATTATTCTAATTTAGTTTTATGATAATTCTTAATTTATTTTACGGCAATATTTTAGAATTTTTTTGGAGCTGTGCATAATACGCACCCTCTGATTTTGCTTATTATTTTTTTGCTTATTACAATGATGAATTACGGTACTCCAAATGCGCGTCGAAGAATTTTAGAAAATGAAAAATCGTTACAACAAAGAAAATAGTTTCGAATTTCTGATATCCGTTAACTTATACGGCAGTGAATATTGGAAACAAGAGGAATGTGGTTCTACATACTGATGCATTGAACTCCATGAAGGGAGTGAGTGAGCAACGTGGAAGTCGTAAACAAAATGGCAACAGAATGAACCCTTATGCTCAGAATCAGAAGGAGTCAGCTGAGATTTATTGGAGTAATAATAAAGGAGGGATTGAAAAACTTCACCCTCGGAGGGCATATTGAAGTCAGGAAAGAGAAGGGAAAGTGCCTTCTACCTGACGAGGTTGTGTGAATGCATGTCATATCTGCTGGCGCGATGCTTGGTAAATGTAGAGACAATCCTAGCGGTAACAAGAGATAGGAAGTTTTGAAAGGCCAAGAACACCTAAGTCCTGACGGGAAGGAGCAAATGTTATAAGAATAAAAGGAATGACTTACTGAAATAAAGAAAGGAAAAACAAAAGAAACTATGGGAAATGGAACGGTTAATAATAATAATAATAATAATAATAATAATAATGAATAATAATAATAAGAAGAAGAAGAAGAAGAAGATGATGATGATGATGATGATGATGATGATGGCGGGAGGAGTAAGTGGGGGACACCGGGAAATAAGGAGACATATAAAGAAAAAAAAAAATGAAGAATTAATAGAAGTAGAAGGGGAAACTGAATCTTTCGAAAGAATCAAGACCATAATAGACAGACAAGACAGGCGCAGTAATAAAATAAAATAATCAATTGCCATAAAACTATAACAAAAAAAGAAAGATTTTTGATCTGTTTTTTATATATATATATATATATATATATATATATATATATATATATATATATATATATATATATATATGTTGCATGCCATGTTCACAAAGCAGAGACTGCTGACTGACTATATTCTATTCTTTGTGAGGCAAAATATCGAATCAAGAATAAATTAACAGAGAAAACAAGACTATCTACAGTCATTCTCAGGGGCATAGAGTTCGAAACGGTGAGCAGGCAGGTGGAATGTGTAAGGATTCTTCTCATTCAATATGACAAAATTCGTTTTTTTTCTGTCTCCATATGAACTAAGCTTTTAAAAAATGTGTAAAAAATCAAAGCTGTTCAATCGGAATTGATGTAGCTCGCCATTTTAGGCGTGATCAGTAAAATTTAGCAACTCAAAATCTCTAGTTGAATGATATGATTTAATACTAGCAATTATCAATGAAGACGTCTTAAAATCGCCCACGTCCGTATATTATGGGATCAAGAACCCCTAATTGTTGTTGGAACTAAAAACTTAAAAGAGGAGCAAATTCATAGTCTTGACCTCTATATTATAATGTTAATAGGATTATAAGCATTTCATTATGTGGCAATTTTTACTGTTCATTGACCAAGAAGACAATACTGCATGAGTTACACTTTTCTTCCCTCCCAGACCAAAGTGCTGGGATCAAAATATAGTACCTGTTCACCTCATCTCTAATGGTAATGGTAATATTAGTCAATTCTTAATGCGAAAACATTTAACATTTATTCACCGAGCAGCCAGTACGACACGAGTTGTGCTTTACTTCCTACCTGTTAGCCTAACATCTAATGATGATGGCATCGTTAACCGTTTCCATCTGGGGAAGTTTTCGAAATTCATTGACCTAGCTAAGCTTTTCTTTTATTGCTGGTCATAATGCTGAGATTAAATTGTAGAATCTGTTCACTTCATCTCTAATGGTAATGATAATATTAGCTGTTTCTTTATGTGGAATCATTCATCGTTGATTCATGAAGCTGCCAGTGATACACTAGTTATTCTTTATTCGCTCACTTGTCATCTAGATGGAATCAAACTGTAGTACCGGTTCTCCTCATCTCCAATGATAATAGCAATAATAACCATTCTCTAATGTGAAAATCTTTGACTTCCATTGACCGAACAGCCACTGCTACATCAGATATTCTATTCTTTCTTCCGTTGACATGGGGTCGGAATCAAAGTATCATCTCTAATGGTAATGACAATATTAACCGTTCTCTTAGTTGAAAACATTCGGCAGCCAATGAACGAACAATAAGTGCTGCACGAGTTACGCTTTTCTTCACTTCCTGGGTAACGGGCTGTGATCAAAATGGTGATCTTATCTCCAATGGCAGCGGTAATATAAGCTGTTTCCTTATGTGGAAGCATTATTTGTTCATTGAACTAGCAACCATTTCTGCTGTCGGTTGAAATCTATATATTTTTATTAAAACATTGTTCAGAAAAAACTATGCTTCTCAAGTTCAGGAAAAGTTAACTGTCATTCTGAATATTTCCTTCGTTTTTTTTGGGCGGGGTTGTAGTCTGTGTTATATGAAATTATATAAAATATATCATAAATAACAAAAACATCCAACATAGTACATATTGAGATAAATTCTTCTATTTATTAGAAAGGGGTAAGAAGGCATTCTGTGTTTGTGTAAAGGTTAAGAAGCTTGTCTCGCTGTAATACTTACGACTTAGAAATGAGATTGATTCTCACCGGGTAAGATTTGGCCATCCTTTATAATAAAAAATGGATTTACAAAAATGCTTAAAATTAAGTCAGAGAAGGGAGAAAGAATGCACAAAGATATGAGAAGAATGGAAATAAAATAAAGAAGAAAAGAGAAAGGAAAAAAGGGAAGGTAAATAAACAAAGGGTGTAAAGAAAAAGAAAAATTGAAAAAAAAAAACAATAAAAAAGAAGCGATATGAAATTTAGGGAAAGGAATGAGAAAAATGGGGAAAAAAAATGAAACCAAAATATGTTTGAAAATGATTAGATTTCAAACCCAATGTAAATAAATAGAGCTTCAAAAGAAGTTAGAGAAAAAAAGACAAGAATTTTTCAGTCAGATAAAGAAAGATACAAAATAAGACAGGAAGAAAAAGAGAGATAACAAAGAATTATGTCACATAAAAAGAGGATTTGAATATGTAAGGCGGAGAAGGAGAGATGAAAAAGAAGTAGGGAAAGAGTGACAGAAAATAAGTAAGGGAAAGATAGAGTAATACAAATAGAGTAAGGCAGAGAAAGAGAGATACCAAATAAGTAAGGCAGAAAAAGTGTCATTTCAAAAAAAAACATATGGCTGATGAAGAGTCGACATAAATAGGACTGTTATAGAATGATAGATATGGAACAGAAATGAAGCAGAGAAAGAGAGACGGAAAAGAAGTAAGGCAAATAAAATAGAAATGCAAGTGAAATAAGGCAGACAAAGAGAGGTACTAAAATAAATAAGGCAGAAAATGGAGTTATACAAAATATGTAAGGAAGAGAAAGAGTGTCCGAAAGACAAAATCACACGAATCGAGACGAAAAATAAGTAAAGGAGGGAAAGAGATAAACAAAAGACATAAAGTACGGAAAGAGACGCATGAAAAGAAGACAGTGAAAGAGAGGTCCACAACACGGGCGCAGAAGTAAAAGAAAAGTGTGAAGAGAAAGAAAAAAAAACCGGAAAAGCCAAGTAATCCAAGGAATGAAACAAATTAAAAAAGAAAAGAAAAAAGAAATTTAGATAAGAACCATTTTTTTTTCTTTTCTTTTTTTTCAGAATTGTTGACACCAAACGTGACCCGAGTGTTCCGACGCCGTGGCATTTGTTCTCTGCTGAAGCCGCTTGACATGTTAATGAACCTCACTACTGTCTGTACACAAACCCCCGGCTACTGTTCATCGACAAATTATATTTGCCTGGCTGGGCGAGCTTTGTTGGGAATGCGAGCGCGCGAAGCGCCGATGCTGGCGGACAATGTCGACCCGTTGAACCGATACGATAATGCGAGGAGTTAAGATTAATGTTGATTCAGGCAAAGTGTTGATCCAAGAACGGGATAATGTCGAATTAGCCACCGGCAAGCTTTGTCTTGCGAAAATATTAAGGTGGATAGATAGATTGACAGATAGATAGATAGATAAAGTAAGAATCTCGTTTGAGCTCAATATATCATCAGTAGATAAGTCAGATAATGAACTGAATCGAGGGTCAATAAATACAGAGAAAACACATCATTTGAAGCTGTTATTTGCTAAACAAAACATCTTGCACGAGAACGAAATAAACAGAAACACGGGAAACGTGTAATCTCTACTGAACGTTCGAAGAAATGGTCCTCCACTGTTTCCTATTTTTATTGCTCTGAGGAAGTTTTTACTGTGTAAAATCATATTTTCTATCCCTGCCCTGGCATCTTTCACAACAAAACATATTTTCACTGACAAGAAGTGGATGATTAAATTGAATAACTTTATAACTGTACAGCAAGCATGTTTGTTAACAGTGTCGATCAGGACAATTTTTCCTCGTCAGAGTCCATCTTGTGCCTGTATAAATATACTGTTCGTCTGTGCATTGAGTATTTTTTCCGTAACGGGTCAGTTGCTCCTACTATCAAGAAATTCTTGACAAAATCCAATGAAGGATCTCAATGAAAACGATCGTGACCTCAACTCAAATTCAAACACTTTCCCGCCGACACGACGTGCTTTCTCTCTGTCTCTTCTACAAATATCTTCATATGGCAAGTGTTCTGGTCAGCTTTTGTCCAAAGATACTCGATGACCTTTTGATTGGCAACTAAGCCTCAGCGTTTGATTCTTCAACTATCTCGATGAAAGTATTTGTTCGACTGGATTTGTTGTCTCTATTCGTACTATACAGCTTCTTGAGTCCTTGCCATCTACAATCTTTAAAAACTTAAATTCAGTGGCAGTCATCATCTTCTGTGGCCCTAAAACCATGTTTACTTTTCTTTTCCCCTTTCTCGTCATTTCTCATCATTAAAGTGTTCTCATTCACTTTCCCTCCCAGTAAACTCTTGTGTCCTAGTTACATTATTCCCTTGCTTGGGGTGAAATGATTAAAACTTTAAAGAAATACAGGAGCAGGATATTCGTTATCAATCACCCAACCAGCATTTCATAGCCTCACTATGTCTCTACGAACTGTATATATGACTTTCAATTTCCTTATGATTTTCATTGGAACAGACGACCCGACGAAGATCTAAGTAGTGGGGACATCAAACAAAGGAGAGTAGAGAAATTTAACTATGTTTGTTTTGGTAAAAATACTTATAGGATTACTATGCATTCTCTCCTATTACAATTATTAAATTTAACTACGTTTGTTTTGGTTGAATTTGTTAAGCGACATATCAAAATCTATTGGGTACTTAATGCCAAAATCCAAATATTTTGAATGCAATAAAGAAATGGCTAAAATACTGTTAGAATTATTATGTATTCTGTCATTTTACAATTATTAAATTTAACTACGTTTATTTTGGTTGAATTTGTAAAGCGACATATCAAAATCTATGGGTTAGTTAATGCCAAAATCCAAATATTTTGAATGCAATAAAGAAATGGCTAAAAATATTATTAGAATTACTATGCTTTCTCTCTTTTTACAATTATTAAATTTAACTACGTTTGTTTTGGTTGAATTTGTTAAGCGACATATCAAAATCTATTGGGTACTTAATGCCAAAATCTAAATCTTTTAAATGCAATAAGGAAATGGCAAAAAATACATTTAGATTTATTATAGATTCTGTCTTTTTACAATTAATAATTAAGAATTATTCTTGTTTAAAATTCCAAAAATTTCTCAGAATTTGTTCAGATTTCAATCTTAGACTAAAATCAACACCGTGTCATTTTCCAGTTGAGCAACGTCACTTAGCATCTTGCCTTATGATGCGAGCTTTCTTTTTTTACTTTAACTTTTTATGACATAAAACCATTGGTCTGTGCTTGAATCAAAATAACTGCACTTACAATCTTCAGAAATGTAACCTGCCAAATCAATACTGGATATTAATATGAACATAAAATTTAAAATAAATTTATATATAATTTATTATTTGGTAAAAAAAAATAAAAAAAATTGTTCAAACAAATGTTTGAGGTAACATTAATTTATATGGGCACATAAAATAAGACACCCTCACGGGCCGAGTTTAAAAACAGACGAAAAATCTATCGTTAACACGCAAAATAAAGGAATTACACGAATTAAGTGCTTCGTGTGCCAAATAATTTTCAATAACATGTATGTAAACTATCAATAAAACCAAAATATGCACTTTTACAATAAAGATCATAGTGTTTCGAAAGAAGGTCTTCAGAAAAGAAAACATTATAAAGTGAAGAAAATAAGAAATAATTCTCTGAATAGTAGTCAGAGAATAATTTGTTAGAGATTTCGAATCAAATTTCATGATAACAGTGAAGGTCAAGTACACCAGCCGAAGATTTTCCCTTGATGCGTCAGAGATGGGGTTCCTGCAGCAGCTGTTTGTCGTTCCGAAAATTAAATCCAAGGTCACCCCCAATTAAATAACCTACTGATAGGCTCCAGATACACTTCTCGATGAGAAACCCCTTTAATAATTTCCGATTAAAAACAAACGCAGCTGTTTTAACACAAATCGAAATGTAACAAAAACATTTTCGAAAGTAATAAATTAAGCAAGAGCCCAGCGCAGCGTCTGCTTTCGCTGTACGCCAGACGATGCAAGATTCAAGCAGCTTAAATATCTTATAATTAATGAAAGACTGTTGGAAAACGGTGGTATGAAAACGAATGTGCAAAATGTAAACAGCCATTGATATATTAAAGCGCTTGAGCACGCACATGTCTGTGAGATAGATAGATAGATAGATAGATAGATAGATAGATAGATACATAGATAGATAGATAGATAGACATGAACAGGATTGCAAGTTTTTAGAGACAGAAATGAACATTTTTGTGCATATATATATATATAATATATATATTGCAGATATATTTTGTTTAATAAATGAAGTTTCATTCAAAGTTGCTGTCACAATATATATATATATATATATATATATATTATATATATATATATATATATATATATATATATATCTTATTAAAAAGTTATTTATTTGATAAGTCTGAATGTAAATCGTATTGTCAAAACAAATTGAAATCTTTATAATTTATGAATATTTCCTGAAGATGGTTTATTAGGTCAAAACGTCCGATGTTTTCATATTAACAATAAAACAGCATAATTGTATATATTCATTTTTGTTTGTTTTTTCCGTATATATTTTTCTTCATATATATATATATATATATATATATATATATATATTTCATATATTTATTTGGACAGTCAACTTTTTAATGAAAACTATTTATTAAACAAAAAGGCTCTGCAATGTTTTATTATCAAGCATGCACAAAATGTTTCTCTGCCTATCACTTTATCCCTATCTATCTATCTAACTTTCTATCTATCTATCTATTAATCTATCTATCTATATATATATATATATATATATATATATATATATATATATATATATATATATATATATATATATGAAAGCAAAATTCAATAACCAAAAACACCATTCTTCAAAGTAGGGCTAATAATTTTTATTCAAAATTCATAACATATACATGCTATAAGATGACTACGAATTTACAGTTTTGTTTCAACACTGCTGGTGTCCAATCAAGTGATGATGCTGGTCCTCGGTAAGATGGAGTACGATCTTTTCATTGAATATTATTTTCTGTTAATTACGTATTACACGAATTCAATCAAAGCCTCCTATTTTAACACACTTTCGCGTCAAGAATGTTTGCCAAAAACATTCAAATATTATCTATTAATTCAACACATGTGACACGTATCTAAGCAATGAAACAGCCTAACACAACATACAATTATTTGCGTCTATTTGCTTTTAATCATTTTTTTTATAATTTCTATCATTATGTCGGGTTCCTATCATTAATCTATCTATCTATCTATCTATATGTCTATCTCTCTCTCTCTCTCTCTCTCTCTATATATATATATATATATATATATATATATATATATATATATATATATATATATATATATGAAGAAACATAGTTTTCATGTGTGCTACATTTAAGGAATAAAGTTCTCAGTATTAGGTATAGAGCGTATGTAAATATAAAAGTCAACACTGGAGTCAACACTAAGGAATTACGTCACTCTCAACTTCAATATTATATATATTTATATATATATATATATATATATATATATATATATATATATGTGTGTGTATGTGTATCTGTGATGCATATTCCTATAAGAATTAATGGACTAATATTGATCCAGCATATTCTTTATTACATCAAACATTATTCTAAATGGATACCCGTTCGACACTCATATTCAGCTTTAGTTTTAAATAAATGGTAGCGTCTATACGAATATGGATATCGACTAGAAATAAATCTTGAAGCAATAAATAAATTTATACACGGGAATATGTAACCAAATTTTGTTGATGGGAAATGTATTAAAAGATACATTTGGTATTTGGTTATTTCGTAAAGCCATATTTTAATCCGCTTTGCAGACACTCGCTCATAGACATATGCGGTTTCAACCCAGGAACAATAATGCAAATATGCTTAGCAAAACATAGTGACAGTTTCTTGGAGCCACACGTCATATTCTGGCATAAACAGCACTTTGAACAACTATACACAAACACACGCACGCATTCGCTCACGCACACATTGAGCGCGCGCACACATTCACGCGGGCACACATTCGCTCACGCACACATTCAGCGCGCAAAAATTTGCTCGCGCACACGGGAATATATATATATATATATATATATATATATATATATATATATATATATATATATATATATATATATATATACCGTTATTGGGTCCTCCCTTTTTCATGGAAGTGGACTCGATCAAACAGTGTTACTTGGACTGCCGCCGTTAAATAACCACAGTCAGTCAGAATAGAGAGAGAGGGATGAGCAGAGATTGTGATTGAGTTGGAGGTAGAGTAATAGTGTGAGGTAACCACTTGTAGCAGTCTCAGTTACAAACACGTAGACTCTAAGGTGTCTCACATCGAGACCTTATATATATATATATATATATATATATATATATATATATATATATATATATATATATATATATATATATATATATATTGCGTTTCCTGGATTTACTAACAGTATTACTCATTGTATTATTGTGTAAATACATTTAATTTCTTCTTTATTTCTTGTGTTTGTCATTCATTGGAAATCGAATTTCATTTCAGAATCCACAATATATATATATATATATATATATATATATATATATATATATATATATATATATATATTATATTCCAATCTCTTTATACCAGTTTCATTAAAAATAACTACTGACGAAGAATTGCAGTTAAGATTTTTATTTATTTTTTGTCTTTATTATCAGAATACATATTCAAATTAAATAAAAAAAAAAAAAATTAACTGAAGTTCCTTGTCATTTGTTTTTAATAAAAGTGATACATACATACATATATATATATATATATATATATATATATATATATGTATTATTAAAAAAACAAAATAAATATATATATATATATATATATATATATATATATATATATTATATATATATATTATATTATAATTTTATCATAGAAGTAGCATCAGTTTATTCACTAAAAGACGCATCTCCGTTTCGTGCTTTATAAATGCAACTAAACCTCGGTATCTATCCATTTTTCTTTCTCACCCTTCGAGGTGCAATTGAACTGCACCGAAACAGAGTTGTATCTTTGTAGTGACGAAACTGTTTTAGTCTATAAGATAAAATAATAATAAATAATTATCGCTCAACTATCGGTATCGAGCCCTTTTGGATTAATGCTGTAAACCTTATATTTCCATATTACTTTCGTTTTCATTGAGTCGGACATACATACATACGTATATATATATATATATATATATATATATATATATATATATATATATATATATGTATGTATGTATGTATAAGTATACTTATCTGATCTCTTTTGCATTCTTTTAAATAAATATAATTAGCAACTATTTTCCTCACTCTTACCTTTTCCCCAAAGATATGGATTAGCAGAATAATCCATGATTTTTCCGAAGAAAAGGCTATAATTCCTAGATAAAGAAACGGAATGTATGGAGAATCATTGTTCCGTACCGACACATAATTTATGAGGATATACACAATCCAAAACTAACAACGTAATATTGCCATCACTATTTTTCTACAAGTATATGGCGCGTTCGGCAGAGGAGGTGCTTATTCAATATTTGCTAATTTTGTGGCAAAACGCGCTTAAAAGTTTTTGCCAATTTTGATCAACATTTCTTTTCATGGTTACCCGTAAGTAATTGTATATAATCTACGATTAACAACGTAATATTGCCAGTAATATTGATCAACATTTCTTTTCATGGTTACCTGTAAATATCTGACTTACATTCTGCATTTAAGTAAAATAATAACTAAAATAATATTCATTAATATTTATTATAGGAAATATCACATTTTACAAAACCTTTTTTGACAATAATATATTTAATTACGTAAATAATGAAAATAAAATAAATTTTGATGATATATTCGATTTGTTAGGTATTTTTCATTTTCACCTTTGTTATTGGTAGAATTTTAGAATACTTTCGCTGCAATGCCAAGTTTCCTAATTTAAACAAACCGGAGCTATTTCGTTTACGCTTTATTACCTCTCTTTTCCATTGTTGTTTTTAGACCATTTTCTTCCTGTCTGTTTAATGGGCAACAGCGAAATTCCGAAATGTAGAATGATCTTATTTCATTTCAAAAATAAAGCCTATGAAAAGTATTACTAATTAATAAACGACCAAAAATAAAATGCTTCTGACAAAATAATCTTAATGATTTCACTATAATCATGTAACAATAATGTAATAATAATCCGCAAACAAATCCATTATTATTCCGAAGACACATCTAAGTTTTACGTTACCTTATATCATTGCATAGTTATGAACTATAAACCTAAATTGAGCTTGGAATATTGTGTATTCGGCTCTAACTTTTGTAAAATACTTGGATATCATATAATTAATAGTTTGCAGTAAAAAAACAATTTTCAATTCTTGGTGGATACACACCTCGACCGCCGAATGCGTCTTATATAATTTTGCACGCTTATATGCATACGATCAATGCATTCAAAATTCCCACAACATGCATATATATATATATATATATATATATATATATATATATATATATATATATATATATATTTGTCTGACGATCGCTAAAGCGTGAAACCCAGGGTCACAAACTCACATCTATCAACCAATATATAATATATATATATATATATATATATATATATATATATATATATATATATATATATATATATATATATATATATATATATTAATAGTCACCCATATATATATATATATATATATATATATATATATATATATATATATATATATATATATATATATATATATATATATATATATATATATATATATATATATATATATATATATATATATATATATATATATATATATATATATATATATATATATATATATATATATATATATATATATATATATATGCATTAAGCCAGAGCAAGGTGGGAAGCCACTAGGATGCAGGGGTTTGCAAAGATTTGGAGCGAGAGCAGATAGGGTGATAGAAGAAAGGATGAGGAGAAGGATAGTGGATAGATCAAGGTAACTGGAGATGTCGATTGACATTACATTTGAAGAGTTGGAGATATAGCTCTCACGGAAACAGTAATAGGGAAGGGCGTTGCACAGGTGAGAGGTGCGAGATATGAAGCTATTGGAAGAGAAGAGACGGCT